CACAGACTAACAGTTACAGATACTAATAATTCTCGTAGCGTGGATTATAAACCTCCCCCCTTGACAGTCTAAATCTCGAAAGAGGGGCTGTAGCAACCGCATTCGGGACACGGTGCGTTTGAACATTTTCAATATCCATCAGCCAACGCTTCGCAAACATCCTCCGGCCCAGCAGCGCTCCACTCCGAATTTAATTTCCGCACCGGCGCTATCGCGTGAATCATCTAAGCGGCGATCGGCACCTTCGCGCAAAGTATGTCTCCTCTGTACCTGCTTGTGACTGCGGCCAATGCGTTCACCCCAAAGTACAAATTGCCCTCCAATGTCAGTCATCGCTTACACCTACGTGGTCAGTCCTGGAGTCACATTCGGCTGATCGGCTCGATGGAACCAGCTAAGAAGGTATCTTAGAACAGATATAGAGGGGAAAGGCGTGGAACTCTCCCAACAGAAGAGCTCGCGAAACAGGGCAAGAGAACACATGTCAAAAAAAAAAAAAAAAGCAATATATGGTGGATATCGTATGTACGATGCCGAGAAGCCTTCAGAAATCATACATATGGCAGCAGGCAACCAAGCAAATGAGTATCGAGACTAAGTGAGAATTCGGTTGGTTCACAAGAGAAAAAGCGGTCAAGGTCCAGGTACCATGGTCCATGTCGCTGCATCGCAATTGACCTCTTCGAAGCTGTGCAGAGTGCTAAAACCCAGTCCTGACAGGCAGTCAAAATTACCATCGATATCAACCTAGAATCAGCATGTTAATACGATGGATCTTGTTGAAGACCAACCAAACGGTATAGTAACTCACACTGTCCATGATCACCGCCTCGGCGCCTTGTTTGCGAATCTGCTTGATGCCTAGCAAGACCAGCCCCTGCATGACTGTGGCGTACTCGCCAACTGAAGGAGAAATGACTGGAGATGAGATACCCCCTGCCGGGACTTGGGTAGACTTCAACGCGGGCATATGTTCCGCCAAGGTCGCCCGTCCGGTATATATGACTACGCTTCCCAGGATAGCCCCATCGCCAGGCCGTGTAGCCCGAATGACGCCACAATGTGGAGCCCCTCCTAGAGCTACCCTGTAGATGTCTATCACACCTTGCCTGGAGTTCGTCTTGATATGATCAAGGATGGAATCCGCGTAATCCCAGCCATGGACGAGGTCATAGGTCACGTCTGCAGTTTGAAGGCCAAAGACCAGCCCGTCGGGTGGCGTCCAAGTGGTCAGGTTGCGGAGCACCACGCTGCAAACGGGCCGCGAGAGCGCCGTGTTCCAGCCCAGGTTTGCAAACCATTGCCGCAGCCTTTTACGCTCTACTGGGTTCGCCGATGGGATGCCAAGATAAATCCCTGGAAGTCGTGATCCGAGCTGGAACCTTTTCACGCCTTTTCGCTGGAGAAGTGTTCGAATGGCGCGGCTGTGGAGTGAATTTCCTATCGACAACTTTCGTCGCGCAGGATGGACGATCAAAGATCCAATAACACCAGTCCCCGTGGAGCGAAAGAAGTACGTAGAACAAAAGCCGTACAATGCTTGGGTGCTGCTGTTCCGAACGACGAAATGCGCTTCGTCAATCTCCTCCCGCCGAAGCAGGAAGCTGCTCGACGTTACTCCCAATAATTCGGAACGTTGTCCCTGGGCACAATCTCCTCTGACCGCATCCAAAAGAGAATCTAGAGAGCGTGCATCTCTCTCCTCATTCCAAGTTTCTACCAGCCAGTGTTGTCTTGCTTGGTGCAGCTTCTGACTGCGGCTTATAGAACCAGGCAATGAGCCAACGGGGTTCAACTCCCCATAGAGTACTTTGACCAGGGCCTCCAACGCGGTTTCAGTGAAATCGTAAGTGCAAATATAGGTCCCAATAGATGGATCCATGGCGAAATCGTATGGAGAACTGGCAGCGACAACAATGAGAGGCTTCTCGCGAGCTTCACCAGATGGGGTAAATTGTGATCTACAGATCATGGAGACGTGTTTAGTAAATCCATGCTGGTATAAATTTCTGTTAGCGTCTGCAGTGACAACGATCACTGCATTGGCCCGGTCAATGAGATTTTCATGGATCGGACGCACGCCGTTAGCCGTGTAGGATGTGTGCAAGACACGGCCACTCCTTTGCCGCGAAAGAGACCGTCCAAGCTCCTTGAAGACGCTTTCGCCGCTTAGCACGGAAGCCGTCCGGTCCCATGATATAGGATCGAGCGACATATTTGAGTGCTCACTCACGGAGCGGGATACGGCTGAAGCAGGCAGCGGCTTCACTAATGGCGTGAGCAAAAGCAGCTCTTCGTTTGAATCCAAGATGTTGGAAAGGGGAAGGAGGTTCTTTTTATCCCGCACAACTGAGATAGAGCTATTGTATGCCCTGGTGGAGAGGCTTGTATGAGACGGTTGCATCTGCGTAAGCGAAGGGATGCCGGGAGGATTGAGGGCCCGCTCCCAGGAGGTGCATTTGGCTTTTAGGTTGAGAACCCTGCGTAAAGATTGCTCTATGCGTGCCCGCCCGATAATACCGTTCTCCACGCCGAGTTTTAGGCCATTGATAGCCTCTTGCTGCACCTGGAACGACCTGCAGAGGAGTATAATATCACAGCCTGCATTCTTGGCCATCACCGTTCCTCCGCCAACACCAATGTTGTGAGTGAGGGCCTCCATTTCCAGGCACTCCGAAACGACAACACCTTCGAATTTTAAGTCCTTCCGTAGCAGATCGTCGACGACTTGCTCACTCAGACAGGCATGCATAACGTTGACTCCGGCGGAGGACATTGAAACGCCCCCAACCATCATGGAGTCCAGCCCCTGGACAATAGCGTTGCGGAAAGGCACCAACGCGGTGAGGCTGAGCTGTTCCAGTGACTCCGTGATGATTGGGACATCAGTCTGAGACCCGAGAAATTCCAAGTTACCATATGACGGAAAATGCTTGCCACAGGTGACCAAACCTGCTTTCTGGTAGCCCTTCATGAACTCCACACCGTATTGCGACACCTCTTGCGGATCGTCACCGGTGGTGCGGACGCCTAGAGGCTGGGTCCGTACGTTTGTGAGTACGTCTAGAACTGGGCCGAGGATCCAGTTGACCCCGACAGCCTTAAGCTCCTGTGCAGTGGCCGTTGCGACTTCGTGGGCCAAAGTTTTCGAACCTGTAGCGGCGATCCCCATGGCGCTAGGATACTGTCGGATGTATATCTCGTCATACAGACTATTCACGCCTCCGTTCTCTTGATCGAGAGCGATGAGTAGTGGCACCGGATGACCAGCATCCCGGGCAATTGTCTGGAGTTCCAGGACCAGTCGCGTTGCATCCTCGGCAGCTAGATGTGGATCAGCATCTGAGTTATAGAAAAAGGTAAGAGACACGGCTGCAAGGCATCTACTATCCATCGGGGAAAGATAAGTGATGAAAAGGGTGAGGTGCGAAGATACATTTTAGATTCTTGGCAGAGAGTAGGACCGAGCCCAGATGGTAGTCTTTGATCAATGAGCGGATCTGAGGGCTAACAGACGTTCCGTCGAAGCCCATCATAAATAGCTGGCCCATCTGCCTGCCGAGGGACGATGTGACAGCCTAACCGTCAGCCATGATCAATGGAAAAGAAATGCAACGATGAGACGGAAGGTTGGGGGGTTCCGAAGGGATCAAAGTTGAGAGGGAGGCGGTATAAGAAGAAAGATTAGATTATGGATGGGATGCATGGCAGGAATGAGCCGACGAAACAGACAAGTACAGAAAGTAACGTGCAACAGATGGTTAAGTAAGTAATGGTAATTTGGGGAGTGTATCAGATGGATCAATGACAGAAGAGACAGAAAGGGATCGAATAATAGAAATTAGATCGAAAAAGGGAATGCCAAGGCTAGTACACTCCTACCTGTCTAGATCCTCCCAGCCAGGCGGCAACATGTCCTCTCTGGGGGCCATGAGAGCCCGGCGTGGGAAGGAATGTTGCGGGTGCAATGGCAGAGAAGGCAATCTTGTTTCGGAATGATGGATGGGGTAGGTGGTAGCAGCAGTAGCAGCAGCAAAAGTAATAGAGTAGTAATAGTAGTATGGACAGTAGTATGATAGTAGTAGGACTGATAAGGGGAAAAAAGCACTGTAGGTATGGAACGGAAACGCAACCACCTGAGTCGGACGGAATTGAGGGAGTCCCAGTCGATAAGGTAGTCGGTTGCAAACGTCAAAGAAATGTGGGCGGACAGGACAGGCGCGCCGGCGCCGGCAGTTGATACCAAGCTACCTCTTGCTTTAGCTCGCAAGCTTCATGGATCAGATAAAGCCCGGGCGGATCGGAGAGGGAATCAGATGATGAGTGGCCGGTTGAGCCAGCCTCCGTCCAGTCCAATTTCCCAGGATGGATGGGAGGTCCTGACTAACAGGCTAGTACTTACTTAACTACCTGTCTGTCTTTCTGTCTGACTGAACTGACAACGGGTGTGAAGGAGGCCAACAACTCCAAGGGAATGGAGGTTAAGTTTCTAGAAGTCAGGGTATATGGCCTTGTAGACCGAGCTCTAAAGCCTAGGAGAGATCCTTTGGGAGGAGATAGATCATAGATGGATGATGCCCATCCTATTATTGTCCATCTAGTTGTAGATAGAATGATAGTCGAATCAACATGGATGGCATCCTTCCTCCCTGCACCGGGTCTTCGGTATGTGCTGGAAGAATAATGTTCCGTTGGATAATCTCGTGTGAAGCGCTCACGTGGTGTACCAGAGATACATTCTCATTACAATACCGAAACAGTGACAGATGAAAAGTATTTCCAGTCTGATACATACCGTACGTAGTCTCTCGGACGGGTATTTTTGTACCATACCTTACCAACTGGTCACAGCGTAGGGAACCTGGAGGGTTGCATGGGTCTGTGACACACAGGGCTTGTTTCCCCGGTTTGCCGCGATGGCCGAATGCAACGGCAACGCCCGCCAACAGTCTTTGAACCAATAGAATGGAACGGAAGCACTGGGACGCTGCCCCGTCAGGTTAGGCGCCCCCTCCCTTCAACTCTTTATCAGTGTTATCATCAGCATGATAGTTAACTAGTAGTATCTTAGTAGTCACTAGTAGATATGCCACACCACGGTCACCTGCCTCGGGGATGTCCTCCTTGGCAAGCTTCTTTGAGCATCTACTCAAGCCGATTCGCCCCATGCCACCCCCTTCTGCAACATCACGTTGCTGCTGCTGATGATACCATTCGGTGACAATCGCCTTTCTCATTTCACTTTTTTTTTTTTTACCTCCCTGTCTCTCGGCTAACCCGTTCAGGTTCTTTTGCAGCTGCCTTGATGCTAATGCAGTACTCTGATTGGCAGCCTCATAGGAGTCATAGTAAGTAAATACTACTAATGACATATCGATAAAATAAGATAAAATGATGTGATTACCAGTACTGGAAAGTGCTGCGTCATTGGACAGCTACTTGCCTACCAACCTGATACCTGGGAATATACACTGGGTGAACAATTTTCGGCCCACGCAATATCATGAGTAAAGACAAACCCTTTCCCTCACTCAAAACGTACTCTTTGGGTGTATCATAGCGGCGAGGTCGTCGTCATCACCTACCTTAATGGTAATCTCGGCGTTGACTCGATGTAGATCTCACTTTGAAAGTCTACTAGAAGTACTAGTAGGAGTAGTACCCGACTATGACACGGTCTGAGGGAAGGTCCAGCAAGTCCATGTATCATTCTGTCACACTCCACATGGTCGATCGATCCAGACCTACCGGACAGAATGGGAACTTGTACTGTAACAGAGCCATGGTTGGGATGGAGTTGCCGGTCTAACAATCATTATTAACCTCCCAACGGTACCCTGCCTCATTCTTCTTCTTCTTTTCCTCTTTGCATCTCTCAGAAAATATCCATTCCCCTCCAACCACTTCTCTACCACCTCTCCCCTTCAGTCCTCCTTCTCCTTCTTCTCATCTTCTTACCTTTGACCTTCTTCATACTCATTCATATTTTCTCATCACACATATATTACCCATTTCACATTCCATTTCTTTGTCCTCGCTTTTGTGACACCCCTCATTGCTATCGCCCCTCCATCCTTATCAGTGACGTAGTTGTATTCCCATCCTCCTTCGGATTTCTTCCATCATGTATGACATCCGTCCCCGATAAGCGGCTTTTCTACATTGATTAAAACTAATGTCCTTCTTTAGGAGAGTAATTATTAGGGAGACTAGCCTTGAAGCTTCAGAATACATTGCAGATTACATCATCAGTATGTCTTCCAGAGACCATCGTGTTTTCATCATATTCTTCATTCTTTTACAGAACAATTAATTTCTCTGCTATATCCATCCACCTGCTAATAGTGTTGTTCTAGGTCGCATAAAGTCATTCAAGCCCAGTGAAGACCGCCCCTTTGTGCTGGGGCTCCCGACTGGTAGTAGCCCTGAGATAATCTATAAGACTCTGGTGCGCCGGCACAGGGACGGTGATATCTCGTTCAGAAATGTCGTAACTTTCAATATGGTAAGACTTCGGAGCCCTTTATTCGAGCAGGGTTTAATTTGCTAAACCAAATTAGGACGAATATGTTGGACTGCCTCGTGACCATCCGGAGTCCTACCACAGCTTTATGTACAAACACTTCTTCTCCCACGTGGATATTCCGCCCCAGAACATTAATATCCTCGACGGAAACGCACCCGATCTCGCGGCTGAGTGTTCGTCCTTTGAGGCGCGAATTGCTCGCTATGGCGGTATTGAGCTCTTCCTGGGTGGTGTGGGTCCAGACGGGCATATCGCTTTCAACGAACCAGGCTCCTCTTTGAGCAGTCGTACTCGTGTCAAGACCTTGGCATATGACACAATCTTGGCTAACTCGCGGTTCTTTGGCAATGACTTGGACTTGGTGCCGCGGAGGTCACTTACCGTGGGTATTCAGACTATCATGGATGCTCGCGAAGTTGTCATCGTGGCTACCGGTGCTCACAAGGCTCTTGCTGTGGAGAAAGGCCTGGAAGGCGGCATCAACCATATGTGGACACTCTCAGCGCTGCAGCTACACCCATATGCGCTGATTGTCTGCGACCGAGATGCAACCCTGGAGCTAAAGGTTAAGACTGTCCGCTATTTTGAATCAATCGAACAATCCGGGACAGATGCACGTACTCAGGGTCCGCCTCTTGTCTACAGACCCAGGACATACGTTCCTGCCCCAGTGGGTGTCGGAAAACTCCAGCCGTCGCACATCCCTCCTCAGAAAGCACCCAAGGACCTCCGAATCAACACAGAACTCAACGCATCGGTGGAGGATGAGGAACTCACACCGGACAGCATGTCTTCACGTATGGTTGACTCGGCGATTGGAGGGCTGGATTCGACTCTGAAGGGAGACATGTTCTTTGATCACATGGGATCACGGGTTGCATCGCATTGAAGGGGGGAAAGGTCGTGAGAGATTCTACTCCGAGGGCAGTATTCGATCGGTTTCGGAATGTTGGTAGATGGTGGCCAGGGGTGGATAAGATTGAATCGTAGATTGCGCGAGAGTCATTTGCTTGAGACTCATTTTGTTTATTCTTTCGGTTGGCATCCATTTCGCGGAATTGATAGCTAGACGTGCTGTCTCTTTGCGGTCATGCATTGGGAAGTTCTTTTTTGTGCCCGGAAAGATACTAGATGGATTTACATGGCGTTTCAATTGCTGAACGAACATAGATTTGCCGAGACTGTACAAAAAAGACGAATGAAATGTTATATATACATCGGTATGTTGTCTGATCGTTAGGGGTATCGTCCCGTTACAAAGTGGGGGTTTACGAAAAGATACTAGTCAGTAAGTGATACTGGTACTACTAGTATGCGAATACAACCAGCACACTGACTATTCGCATAGTAACATTCCCAGCTCTGTTCGATAGATATATGTACTTCTTATTCATCTTTTCCTATAGACATCCAGACATATATATAGACGGGTCGTTAAACATACTTCATTTACAGTTTAGCAAAGACGGTGGCGACGGAGCCGTTCATGTCCACCAGGGTGCTCTTGTTCCTCACCCAGGCCTCAATGCCGCGACGACCGTTTTCAACACCCACACCGCTGTTCTTCCAGCCTCCGACAGCCATCTCGGCCGGACTCTCGCCCCAGCTGTTGATCCAGGTGATACCAGCCTGCAGTTGATCGATGACACGGTGGGCCAGGTTAAGGTCCTTGGTGAAGACACCAGCAGCTAGGCCCAGCTCGGTGGTGTTTGCCCGCTTCACCGCCTCCTCGACAGTCTCGTAGGAGAGAATAGACATGACAGGACCAAAAATCTCCTCCTTGACGATGCGCATGTCATCCGTGCAGTCAGTAAAGACAGTGGGTCGGACCCAGTATCCGCTCTCCAAGTCCTTGGGGACTTGCGGCTTGCCCAACCCACCATACAGAAGGGTGGCCTTGTCCGTCTCGATTCCGTGACGGATGTAGGAGGCCACCTTCTCCATGTGGACGCCTGAGCTCAGGGGCCCCATGTTGGTGGCCTCATCAAACAGAGGTCCGGGGCGGATGTACTGCATCTTCTCCAGGAGGCGCTTTTCGAAAGCAGCCTTCATGCTCGAGGGAACAAAAACACGAGTGCCGTTGGTACAGACCTGGCCAGTGCTATAAAAGTTGGCCATCATCGCACCATCCACGGCATTATCCAATTCGGCGTCAGGAAGAACAATGAGGGGGCTCTTGCCTCCAAGCTCCATGGTCACGTATTTCATGTTGCCGGCAGCAGAACCAGCGACTTTCATTCCAGTGGACACCTGGCCTGTGAAAGAAACCTTGGCAATCGTGGGGTGAGCAGTCAGGTAGGCGCCCACGTCGCCTGCACCATACACAACGTTGAACACACCTGCGGGAAGACCAGCTTCCGTGTAGATCTGGGCCAACGTCTGAGCGTGGAGCGGGGTGAATTCACTCGGTTTGTAGACCATGGTGTTTCCAGCAGCCAAGCATGGAGCGGATTTCCACAGTGCACTGTATATGGTTTGTCAGAATCCCATTGAACACTCGAAAACCTGATTGGAAAAGGGTCCTATCAAGATTCAGAAGGACAGGATGTTGTTCTTACATTTGGATAGGGTAATTCCATGCGCCGATACCCGCGCAGACACCCAACGGGGCCTTCTTTGTGTATACCCAAGCATCTTCCCTCAACTGGGTGGTCTCGCCATTCAGACCACCGCCACCAACCAGGTTCGCATAGTACTCCAGGACATCGGCACCAGTGACCACATCCACGGTACTCGTCTCCGTGTAAGCCTTTCCGGAATCGAGAGTTTCAACACGAGCAATTTCATCATTGCGCTCACGCAGAAGGGCAGCGGCTTTCTGGAGGATGCGGGCACGAGCGATAGCAGGAGTTTGAGACCAGGAAGGGAATGCCCGGTCGGCAGCGGCGATGGCCGAGTCTACATCGGCGTGAGCGGCGACTTGAATATCGGCCAGTGGGGTAGCGTTGGAAGGGTTGATGGCTTGGAAAGTCTTGCCGGAAGTGGCGGGCTGAACCTTGCCATCATAGTAGAGTTGACGCGTAGGGAACGGGAGGGACATGGTTGGAAGGGTGAGCGAGAGATGATAGAGAGGGGAGGAGGAAAGAGAGTCGATGAAGTGGACTGTAGAACCACTGAATGGAAAAGAATGGGGAGTCAAAAAGGTCCAGAGGGGATAGAGATAGATATGATAAAAGTGAGGGGAGGGGAAAAAAAGAGATGTTTTCAAAAAGTATTAGAAAGTAAGAGAAGCATTAATGTACAGATCAGGTACCTCGGCGAAGCGCCTAAGCCGAAAACAGTACTTCATGGCTACACCGCCAACCCGATGATTTGCTGGAATGTCCGATGATGTAATCCGGCAGGCGGCGATCCTTTTTCTTTTCTTCTTCCTTTTTACCTTTATTTATCATTATTTTCCCACCTCGGCTTTATCTTCTTGATTTGACGTGGTAGATTTGGGGAGATACATACTACTTAGTGTAAACTACAGAAGTCTGGCGGATTTCTTGGATTGACAAGAGGACCTCTTCCACAGTAGGTCGCCGGGATGGGTTTCTGTTGTATGAAAATCCAGGTAGGAGATCTATTAGATACTTACTGGCAGGTGATATAAGTTGAGTACTCAGTAAGCTATGGCTCAATGCGGTATCTGTATACAGGCCCAGCCTTTTTCTCTCCCTTCCCCTCTCCCTCTCTCCCTATCGCTTCTTTCCTCCCCTCAACTTGTTCCAACTTTCGCACCAAAGCAGGCAATCCGATCCCGGGATTCGCCTCGGCCCTGCATCTCCGATGGAAATAACCGTTGGTTAGCGCCCAACTAGTAGGCGGGATCGTGGCGTGTCCTAGTGTTTGGATCTCGTGTGGAGTGCCCGCCCGGTTACCATCCACGACGGGCAGACTTCGGAACTTCACCGTGGCGACTTGTTGTTCCGCTGATTCTGCGGTCCAACTCTTATTCCCCCATATCCAGATGTATACTACTCTATACTAAGACGTAGTACGAGACCGGGTCATCTGATGAACACCTGGCTAAATCTTGGGGAAGATTGAGTAACAATCCGGGGGATGAGTAGATCACGTAACAGTTTTGGCATGCCAAAGCGCTTACGCATCCCGAAACTGACCAAAGATAAAAACTTTTGGTTAAGAACTTTGTTCCGCCTTTGCCGTGAGTCTTGGCTTTGACTAATAGACCCACCAAATCTCTGGTCCACCACTCAGAAGCCAAGATTGATTGAGAAAAAGATGCGGTGGAGTAAAGAGATGTGGGTCCTGTTTCTCTCCGGAATGGGTTTAGAAGAAGACCCACCCGGCAGAAAAGGGAAAGAATGGTGAGAAAAACGAGTGAGAAAGGAACAAGACGAGGCCAAACAGCATAAGGAATACAGAAAGATAGGGAAGTGAATGGATGAATGGATGGATTTGATGGCCTGACGGTTCAGCCTCAGAAACCACCGCATCTCTTGCTTGTCCTGCAAAATTTAAAACCCCCAATTTCATCTCTCCCAACTTCTCTTTCCCTCTTTTTCTCTACTTTTTCCTCTCTCCATCGCGCGTCCCTCTTCTTCTCCTCATCCTTATCTCTTATCCTTCTTCCCCTCTTCTTCCATAATCTCCTCTCCTTTTCTGATCTCCCCTGCATCAAAGTAATTCACATCCCCTTATCTTCATCTTTCAAAATGGCCACCACAAACGAATTCCCCGCTAGCGATGTCAACAGCTACGACTATGTCATCGTCGGAGGTGGCACAGCTGGCTGTGTCATCGCCAGTCGTCTGGCTGAATACCTGCCCAACAAGCGCATCCTCATCATCGAGGGTGGCCCCAGCGACTTCATGGATGATCGCGTGCTCAACCTGAAGGAGTGGCTCAACCTGCTTGGCGGCGAGTTGGACTACGACTACCCCACCGTTGAACAGCCCATGGGTATGTTGTGAAACCCCTCCCCTTGCATCCGAACAACCATCAATCGCAGATCATCCTTCTCATGCCCTATTCTACTTTACAGGTAACAGCCACATCCGTCACTCCCGCGCGAAGGTTCTGGGCGGTTGCTCCAGCCACAACACCCTGATCTCTTTCCGTCCCTTCGAATACGACTGCAAGAGATGGGAGCAGGCCGGCTGCACTGGCTGGTCTTTCGAGACCTTCACTCGCGTTCTGGACAACCTGCGCAATACCGTTCAGCCCGTCCACAACCGTCACCGCAACCAGCTGTGCAAGGACTGGGTTCAGGCTTGCTCATCCGCCATGAACATCCCCGTTATCGAAGACTTCAACAAGGAAATTCGCTCCAAGGGTGAACTGACCGAGGGTGTCGGTTTCTTCTCCGTCTCTTACAACCCCGATGACGGTCGTCGCAGCAGCGCCAGTGTCGCTTATATTCACCCCATCCTTCGTGGCGAGGAGAAGCGTCCTAACCTGACTATCCTCACCAATGCCTGGGTTTCCCGCGTCAATGTTGACGGAGACTCTGTGACCGGTGTTGATGTGACCCTGCAGTCGGGCGCCAAGCACACCCTGCGCGCCAAGAAGGAGACCATCCTGTGCGCTGGTGCCGTTGACACCCCCCGCCTGATGATGCTGTCTGGCCTGGGACCTCGCGAGCAGCTGTCTGGCCTGGGAATTCCCGTCGTGAAGGATATCCCCGGTGTGGGTGAGAACCTCCTCGACCACCCCGAGAGTATCATCATCTGGGAGCTCAACCGCCCCGTTCCCCCCAACCAGACCACCATGGACTCTGACGCTGGTATCTTCCTGCGTCGTGAGCTTCCCAACGCCAATGGCTTCGACGGCCGTGCTGCCGACATCATGATGCACTGCTACCAGATCCCCTTCTGCTTGAACACCGAGCGTCTGGGTTACGACACTCCGGTCGATGCCTTCTGCATGACCCCCAACATCCCTCGTCCTCGCTCCCGCGGTCGTATCTACCTGACCTCGGCCGACCCCAGCGTCAAGCCGGCCCTGGACTTCCGTTACTTCACTGACCCCGAGGGCTATGACGCCGCTACCATCGTGGCTGGTCTCAAGGCGGCTCGTGAGGTTGCCAAGCAGTCGCCCTTCAAGGATTGGATCAAGCGTGAGGTTGCCCCCGGCCCCAACGTGCAGACCGACGAGGAGCTCTCCGAGTATGGTCGTCGTGTTGCCCACACCGTCTACCACCCCGCTGGTACTACCAAGATGGGTAACTTGACTCGCGACCCCATGGCCGTCGTCGACCCAAAGCTGAAGGTCCGTGGCCTGAAGAACGTTCGTATCGCTGATGCCGGTGTCTTCCCTGAGATGCCCACTATCAACCCCATGTTGACTGTGTTGGCCATTGGTGAGCGTGCTGCGGAGCTCATCGCCGAAGAGGCCGGATGGAAGCGCGAGCAGCCCCGTCTGTAAGCGCATGGCCATTTCATCCAAACCGCAAAATCAAAAGGAAAATGAAAATAACGTGCAGGGAGTTGATTATGGAACGGCGCATGCATGACCCAAGCGATTGAGATTTTTTCTTTGCATGTGTAGTCTCCAAGTGAGGGCGTTAGCTTCGATCGACAGATGCATGCATATGCGATGGAGTCGGCTTGCCTTACATGATTTATGATTGATGATTTTAAAGCGAAGAAGAATCGCCAGATCAGGGGAAGGTTCATGGATATACAGTTATCTGTCCTTTGTCTGAAATCCTGGCTTGTCTTTTTGGATGTTTTGGTTGCAGTTGCAGTACCATTATCCTATGTACAGTGTGATCTGGGTTGTCATTTATCCCAAGTCACGATCTGCTTGTATTATATAGCGCTGGCATGTTGCGCAGGAAGCACCAGACATATTGAAATGAATAGAAATAGAGTTTATTTCAAATATGCCTAGTACACCAATGTAGAAACAAAATAGATCTTCATTAATGAACCGAAGTGGCCTGTATCTATCATTGACATTCTATTTACCATCCATGTGGGAGGTCTACTTTATCCCGGTCGTTTGAATGAGCCAAGTACAAAAAGAAAGGTAATGAACAGAGCCCACGAGAGCCCACTCCATGCAAGTCTCTAAACCGACGCGAGCCAAGAAGGAACGAGCAGCATAATCCAAACCAAAACTCCCAAGCCTGCTAGAGAGATCGAAATTCGAGCGTAACGCATGAATGAGTAACAACCAAACAATTTCTGCAGCGCATAACTCGTTCAGACAGCGTGCGCGCAAGTCAAAAGGCACTGCATCTTATTTGCCGGTATCATAGATCTTGACTCCGCGCTTCCAGACTTGTCTCACAGTCAAGGTGGGGCCCGAGAAGGGGTCCTCCTCATCATCCAGCACAAGCAAGTCCGCATCCGCGCCACTCTCCAGGGACCCCTTGACGCCCCGTAAACCCAGAAGGCGTGCGGGGGTGGCGGAAGCTGCGTTGAGCGCCTCGGCTGTGGAGGCGCCTGACCAGCGACGGAAATTGTTGACGCACTCAATGAGGGTGGCTGAGCTGCCGGCGATTTTGTCCGAGCCTTCGAGGGTCAGCCGGGCGCCGTTCTTGATGATGCGCTCGCCATTGGTCCAGTCGTAGATACCGTCGGGGAGACCGCATAGCTTCATGGCGTCAGTGACGAGGATGAGGCCTTCGGGGTGGGCGTTGTAGGCAATGCGGATTGAGGTGGGATGCAGGTGAATGCCGTCGGCGATGACGCCGTAGAATGGTCGCGGGCATTCATTCTGCCCTAGGAGGCCGAAGATACCGGGGTTCCGGTGATAGAAGGGGCGCATTGCGTTGAAAAGATGCGTGATCATGGTGGCGCCTTGCTGGGTGGCGGTGAGGGCTTGCTCGTACGTTGCGTCCGAGTGGCCAATGGAGTAAATGATGTCCTCTGATGTGAGGGAGGGAATGTTCGGCAGCATGTCTCCAACCTCAGGAGCTGCTGTGATCATGCGCACTGATTTGAATGGGCCGGTGAGGTTGTCTTTGCCATAGCAAGCGATGACATCTTCGAAGCATGTTGCTGCACGAAGAACTTCTGTCTTATGCACGCCATTACGACCAGGGCTGATGAATGGACCTTCGACATGAGCGCCTAGCGACTCCGCGCCATCTTCGGCACGATGGCTCTCTCCAGATGCCCCTAGCGATGGAAGTACCTGCGTTCAAGAATGAGCCTCTTTTGCCGCTTATTTTCGGTTTACTGGTATTCCGGAGGTGTGGGGGTAATTGAGACATACCTGCCAATAGACTTCGGGGGTAGAACTGACTACCGTCGGGAGGTATGAAGTCACTCCCGTCCTGGCAAGACCTTTGTTAACGGCCCGCAGACCTTCATCGTATAGTTCTTTCGAGGCCTGGGGAACGGAGAAGTCGAAGCCCTGAGCACCATTCAACTGTACATCGATAAGGCCGGGAGCCAAGATGCGGCCGCCTAGGTCAATGACCTTATCGGGGGAGAGATGTAATCCATAAAAGGCTTCCTGATCCTTGAGAATCTTCCCAGAGATTGAATCAATCCATACGTCTTGCTCGACGAGGTCAAGTCCCTTGACAATACGGCAGTTGGTGAATTTGGTGATGCGGGGCAGGGAGGTGGATGTTTTGCCAGGCATGTTGGGTATACTTCGAGCCGCGCCGCGCTCACAACCAGACTTGGGGGAGTCAGTCGATGATGTGAGGGGAGGGGAGAATAGACTGACGGATGGACGGATGGATGGGCTGTCCGAACTACTAGGAGATAATAGGGGATGAGACGGGACGAGAGGAAGAGGAAATCGTTGCGGGGTAGGAGGGAAATTGGTAGGACATTATGAATGAATGAGAAGAGGTGGAGGGAATACTACAAAGTACATGGTGACATTGAACCAGGAACTTAAGGATGGGGCAAAGGCAGGGGCAGGCAACGTGGACAACAAGCTCGATCGCTATGATGATTGTGCGGTTGGCCTCGGGAAAAACGGCTTGGGGTAATTGACGTTGCCATTCCCATGGTTGGGGGAGCGTGATGGGGCCGGAATGTGACGTCGATGTGTAGAGAGATGACTATGGATCGGACAGGAAGTAGTAAAGGCGTAAGATAGAGGCGGACGACGAGGTGACATTTTTCCCCGGGATCCGTCCATGGTTGGCAGTAAGGAGTTACTCCGGAGTGGGCTCTTGAGGGAGATAGCCGATGGAGCAAGTGACTATAGACTTGATGAATTAGTCTATTTAGACGAGGAAGCAGTCCGAACGAAGCGAATTGATTTGGGGAGAACTACACAATTTGATAGGCAAAAATTACTGGAGTATGTATGTGGTGAGGTCATGTTGCATAGTATTGAGCTCCCTATCTCGTCTGTCTCGTCATAATCAATACTGACCCGAACAAACCCCCGTATCTTACAGAGTAGAGAGTGAAACCATACATACCGTACAAACAATACGGCAATACGGCAGAGATACTAAACAACGTCTGAATTGATACATATCCACGTGACTCAGGGTACTTGCCTTTTTGGGACACTTTGAATAGCAGACCCCAAACAGGAAGGAAAAGTATTGCTGTTTGTCTGCATGCATGCATTCATTCATTCCTTCCCATTCCATTTCCATTCTCGGACCTTTCAAGCTTCTCTTTCTTCGAGTAAACACTCCTATTTACTATTTACTCTCTCTCTCTCTCTCTCCCAATCCCTAGGATTCTTTCACTTCCACCTCTCTCTTTCTTGTCTATTTCCCTGGCTATCCTTTCACATCCCCCCGCTCCTTGTGCTTAATCTGTTTTTTTTATTTTTTCCCTTCCTCCTTCTTTTCACTGTGCTTCTTCTTATCCAATGGGTCACTAGGTTCGGTTACTGGGTCCGGTCCGACTCCACTGGGCGGGGAAGACCCAAGAAAACCCTCATCGGTAGCGAAAGCCACCAGCGCAGGTTTAGCGGAGCGGGAGAGAAAAAGAGGGTCAAAAAGAGGAGGGATTTGGGTTCTTGGATGCTACCTCACGACGACCGTACCAGCAAATGAGCCGAATCGTCTCCCCGCATTCGGCTAAGCTTCGAAGGAGCGATGTCACCGTTGCCTTTGCAGCTCCGCCGGGTTGAATCAGGATGGCTCCATGGCCAGATTAACCACCTTGAGGCTGACTCCGCTGACTCTGGGTTTGTTTGGTTGCAGCAATTCGTCTGCTCCATCGGCCTTGCCCGCGCGCTCTCCGTCTCTCTGGTTTGTTCTTCAGCACCAACCCTATTAACTATGGATCCGATGACGGATGAGTTAAACCGGATTATCGATCCTATCCAACTGACATCCAGTCGATGGATTATCAGTGAGAAAGGTCCGTCCGTCCTTTCCTTTCCTTCCTTTTTTCTTTTCTGCACAACAGTTCCTCTTCTCCCTAGCTTGTTCTGTGCTATCACTCCGATTGCTTTGCTCCATTCACATCTTATTATACTCCTACTATATCTCCAACCCAACCCCTGGAGATAAGCTTCCCCTCCCGTGATAACACGCAACTGGTCTTGGGGTCTCGACCATTGGCCTCGTGGTTGTCATTTGGCAAACTTGCATCAGAGGTGCATTGCTAGTCTGATTAATTTCCTTGTCGGATCTTCGAAGGGCTACTACTTGAAATTCAAAACATCCAGTGTCTCTTTTCATTGTTATTCCCTTGGCCATTGATTGGGTCATTATTTTTCTGTTACCTCCGCCCTTAATCTTTTGAGTTGCATCTCCGCATTTTCTATTTCTCTTACTCATCTTTTCCCCCCTTAGTTTTCTATCTCGTTTTGACTTTTGGGTCGCTTGGGGTCGAGTGGATCGTGTCGATTGTTCTTTTCTCCATCCTGCGACTGATCGGGTCCCCGCTAGAGTCAGTCGGAGACCGATGATTCGTTGTGGTGCTTGACTATCTCGCCGTCTGACCACGCCGTCACTCACTAAACGAGTAAGCTAGTTCTTCTAGTGCGTCTTCTGTGCCCACCGGCTTGAGGACCCAGAGATAAGGTACGACGGCTTTTCTTGTCTTGTCATCCCATTGACTTTTCCCAAGCTCTATTGGGTTTTGTGCGTTGCAACACTGGCGTTGAATCGGCTGCTTGTCTATCTGGATGTTCTTCGTATCGTGGAGCTACCTAACTCCCTTTTCCTGCCTATCTCTTGTGTGTCGTGTGTCTTCCTCCTCCCCGATGATGGCTGTTATCACCGTTGTCTCATCCTCCCTACTCCCACCGTGGTATCCTTGCCCAAGTTGATCCCTCACCATCGGCGCACTCTCCTCGTGGCTTAGACTGGTGAGATTCCCCATCAGCTGGATGTTACGATTCATATCCGAGCCCCCGGAGATAAAAATAAGCCAGAGCCCCCATCGACCTTAATTTTTCTTTCCACACAATTTATCATTACCACAGCTGCAGCTTGGGCCAAGGGTTTCACGCTTTTTTTTTTTCTGCCTGCGCCCGTGACCAGTCACTGTTTTCCCTTTACTGGGTTCTGTGCCCACCCCTTCATTCTTACCCCGGATCATCTAAGACATCCTTGCCTGATCCTGCCTTTTTTTCCCTTCCTCCTTCACTGCCATAAGCCCAACCCTTTTAAATTTAGTTCTCTGGGTCCGCCCCAGTGCGTGCTACCAGATTTCTACATATTTTGGATCGCTGGCTCCTCCGTCATCCTTCTCATTTCCCCCGGGGTAGTTCCGTCCTTTCTTCTCACAGTGATACCCTTCATCCCATTTGCTTTCCTCCGTTGTATCAACTTCTTATATTTCTTCTCCTTCTCTTCCTCTTCCCCCCTTTATCTTGTTTTCGTTATTAGGTGTCTCTTCCATCTTTCCCTCAGCCACCACTCGTCCCGTCTGTTTCCCTGCACGCACCTTTCTACACTGTCACTGTCTATACCTGCACATACATGCCATTGATCCCGTCTACATATGCACATACCTGCGCATTCTGAGTACGCCTGCTGACCTGCCGAAAAGCCGCAAATCAATTCACCCCATCTGCCATTGTTCTTGGGGCATCTCCATACAGCATTGAAGCTGTCCATCAACGACAATGGCTTCCACTACAACGGGACAGGAAGACCTCCATCATGAGAAGGAAGTCCCCGCGGTCACTTCCGATCCAGAGGCCGGTCAGGAAACCCAGCTCACTGGTAAACCCTGGATGTACAAGCCATTTAAGATCGGTCCCTGGTCGTTGCCGTACTATGCCTCCCCAGAAGCCCAACTTCTGCTGGTCTCCTTCGTGTGTTTCCTCTGCCCGGGCATGTTCAATGCAGTCAGCGGTTTGGGCGGAGGTGGTCAGCTGGACCCCACCGACGTCAGCGATTCGAACACCGCTCTGTACAGCACCTTCGCAGTAGTTGGTTTCTTCGCCGGGTCCATCGCAAACCGCATTGGTCTCCGCCTGACTCTCTCTATTGGTGGCTTTGGCTACTTCCTCTATGTGGCTTCCCTTCTGTCGTACAACCATAACAAGAACTCCGGCTTCCTGATCTTTGCGGGCGCGCTACTGGGTGTCTGCGGTGGTCTGCTGTGGTGTGCGCAGGGTGCGGTCATGATGAGTTACCCGAACGAAAAGGAGAAGGGTAAATTCATTGCTATTTTCTGGGTGATTTTCAACCTGGGTGGTGTGATTGGCAGCTTGGTGAGTCCTTTGGTGATTTACTCCAAATGGTAGTACTTTTCTGACCCTGGTATACAGGTACCTTTGGGTCAAAACCTGCACTCTGAAGCTGGTCAGGTGAATGATGGCACCTACATCGCTTTCATGGTGCTCATGGCGCTTGGTTTTGTCCTTGCCTGGGCCCTCTCAGACTCGAAGTATGTTAAGCGCAAGGATGGCTCGCATGTCATTGTGATGAAGAACCCCACGTGGAAGTCCGAATTGAAAGGTCTCTACGACACCATTCGGACCGACTACTACATCATCCTGTTCTTTCCCATGTTCTTGGGGAGCAACTGGTTTACTGCCTATCAATTCAACAGTGTCAATGGTGCTTTTTTCACCATCCGGACGCGGGCCCTCAACAATCTCCTCTACTGGCTTATGCAAATGATTGGCGCATTTGTATTCGGCCAGATCCTCGACTTGAAGTTCCTTACCCGCCCAGTCCGAGCCAAGCTTGGTCTTGGACTCCTTTTTGCCCTCACAATGGGCGTTTGGGGCGGTGGTTATGCCTTCCAGAAGACATACACACGGAAGGATGTCGAGGCAGATACCGACTGGACGACCAGCGGCTATGTAGGACCCATGTTCTTGTACATGTTTTATGGTTTCTATGACGCTGCCTTCCAGACCTGTGCATATTGGTTAGTGCCGCTGTTGTCTCTTATTTTTGGCGGCTGCGCTTATTGTATGCATTTTACTGACTGATACGGGCGGTGTAGGTTCATGGGTTCACTGACTAACAACGCTCGAAAATTGGCCAACTTCGCCGGCTTCTACAAAGGCATCCAGTCTGCTGGTGCAGCTGGCATGTGGCGGTGAGTCCTAGAAGCCCCCTCGCTCACGAATTTAGGCGTAGAAGCTAATAAATATACTTCGCTGCAGTATGGATGCCGTGGGAACCCCTTACATGACGGAATTTGCCTCCTGCTGGGGCCTGCTCGCCGGCAGTCTTGTCATCGCGTCGCCCGTAGTGTTCTTGAAGATCAAGGAGCATACCGACGTCGAAGCGGACCTCAACTTTTCGGATGAGACCGCTCAAGAAGTGGGTGTTCCGCTGGAAGACCATCCTTCCGAGAAGAAGCAGGAGCCGGAGTTGGCTATCGTGAAATGATGACTAAGCTTTCTTATATATACACACATTCCATTTCAGCGGAAAGAGGTTGCTGGAGTTCTATGATGGCCAGGCATTAGCCTCTGTCTTTTTGGTGGTTGGTTATGTTTTATTTTCCTTCCTGTTATTTCGCTGGATATCCCTGATCAGATTGGGTTTTGGAGCGTATCACGACATCTAGCTGAGGCACAATTACGTTAGCCACAGCAAGTTACGAATTACCGTAATGGACCTAATATGACATGACTCTTTATGGTCGCTGCAAAGTGTTGCAAGAACACCTGATAAGTTGTAGGACGACGTCGTGGTAGGATAAATCATCTTGAAGGCAAACATGTCTAAGAAAGCTTGCGTGCCACTCTGTTAGGTTAAGGACAAGTATCGGAATAAATAACACAACATTAGCCATGTCAAAGAAGGAGATTTCCCCGCAATCCTAGTCGACGGTGGTACTTGACGCTGTGGACAGTGGTACGAACGACTGCGTGTGTGTAGCTTGCGCAGTGCCGTTGGTAATATAGTCTGGCCAAATCTGAGTTGTACCCGCTGCAATATCCCATCCAAATAAAGTACGGTTGAACAGCTGCAACGCTGCGATCGGTTGATAGTATGGGACCTCATGCCCGGCTTGATATACGCGGGTGAAAGAAAAGTTGCCATACTCGCGCGTCTCCCCGTATTCAACCCCATCTACCGTCATGGGTGTGTAACCCGCTGCACGGAACTGAGATGCATGGGTGTAGTTCACTGCGAGTGAGATGGCCTGACCACCGAACCAGTTACAGATATAGTCAGCATCGCCGTAGATCAAAGACACGCGTACGGGAAGTCGGAGGATCTCTTCGAGGTCCTCGATGAAATTTGGCCATACAAAGTCGCCGGTCTGCTGGAATGCGTAATATACGTCGCTGCTGGACTCGGTGTAGTTGATGTCCACGCCGATAGCATCCATGACTGAGTCTTTCTTGAGGTAGTCAACGAAGTAGGACGGCGGGGTCGGGTCCTACGTAGACATATTAGCTGTGTCCCTGTTCGGAAAGTGCAATCCTTATCCTTGTCACTTACATTGTAGGGGTGGCGAATATCATACACGCCACGGCCGCCAAACTGGTAATAAGGCCCTTCTGTACAACAGCTTAGCGAAGCCCTTCATCAATACATCCCTGCAGGGAAATTGCAAAACCACTCACCAACATTGTCCCTGCACATGTTGGCTGCTTCTGTACATATAGCATAATCAGCTAGCGAGGTTCTATTGGTCAGTTTACACAAAGAAACCTGATCCTGGCATCCATTGGGCATCGTGTTGGCGAACTTCATATAGTTGTACACTGTGTCATTGAGCTAGCAAGTATGAGCAAGGTTGATATAAAATCCACGAGGTGCGGATAACAAACTTACAGCTTTAATTCCATATGTATTGTTGACAGCAAATTCCGGGTAGTAGTTTGCCTATTCATTGTTTTAGCGATGTTTCTTACGTCAAAGCCTCTGCGCGAGCTGCATTTCTACACACCTGAATGGCGGCATCAATGATGCCATTGATAATCCCGAGAGAGTTGAAATTGAGTTGGACTCCACTCACTTCCCCGTTAGCAATCTTCGAGTTTTGCTCGTAGAAATGATTGAAGAACTTTGGTCATCAGCTTCATATATGTGCATCCAGAGGAGAAAAACCTACAGCTGGTCCATAGTGTCTTGATCAAGTCAGCATACGTCAATCTGATCTGAAAGCTGCACTCACCCTCCGTAGCTCTCCGTCCAGAGGTTGAACTCCTTGGACTTGACTTCAGAATCCAGCTGTGACAGGCCACCGAGGAAGCCTTGAAGTACCTCCCAGGTTGCGCGTGCAGCGATATCGGTCGTGTCTGTAGAATAGGAACATGAGGAGAATGCTAATTGAGAGTCATACCAGACAACTAACCGATGATTGTGGCATCAATAACTGGGTATCGACCCTGGACTCCAGCAAACGAGGCGTTCTCGGTGACTCCAGTAATTGGGTTCAAGGACCCGGCCTCGGTTTCACTGTAAGAGAACCCTTCGCAGATAAGATCGTAAGCAATGTACTCAGGATGTATCAAGGCAGCAGGATTTCATACCCACGCCGAGGGGCTGGGACAAGAAAAGGAGATTGGTGACTTCGTTCCAGGAGTACTGGTTGATGATTGATTCGTACTCTGGGGTGATGTGACACGGACCCAACTCTGTTGTGAAAGCGTCAGAATTTTCAAGCTTTTTGTCCTTTCCGCCTCGATATTTGGCCAACCTTCGAAAAGCCCAATCAACGAATCGCTTCCAGGACCACCATTCAGCCACAAAGTCACTGGATCATTCTCGGGATCACGACGTGACTCAAAAAACCAGAAAAAGGTATGTGATTCTGGCGAAAGATCGACATATCCGGAATATGATTTGACTCCGGGCGTCGTCTCACAAACGCCTTCGGTTCCTGGTTCTTTATACCTGATGGTGACATTGTTCGGAGTTTTCATCGATTTGACGCCAGTGGGTGCTTTTGGTAACTGCCTTCTCATCGTGGAGGACCATTTATTCTCGGGCGTAGCACAACTGAGTGCAGCCAGGGCCAATAAGTGCACCAACTGAGAGCCGCGCATGGTGTTGTTGAATGCAAGGACAGACTCAGTCACAGCTATACCTAGTTAAATATCTTCGAAGATTGATTCTATACATGCACCGCAAGCCACTAGAGGAGTCCTTTCAGGGAGAAGGGTCAGCGAAAGACCGATGGGTGGGGGATGCCATCCCCAGCCAGGGCTTTATATACTACATCGTTGCATGAGTGACAAAGTTTGAGAGAAAAGTCGCAGGCCCACATGGTGTGAGGGGAGAATAATTCATATCCAGTGGATAGAAGATACATGCTGGCGGCAATTAGCAATGCCGTGCAGCTTGCAGAAGACAAACACTATTGTGTGGAAACGAGGTTGTATCCCGCCGCCGTTTCCGGCCTGATCGGTGAGGCGTCAGTTAAGCAGCTCAGCATCTCCTCCAATAACCGAGGCGGAAAGGAATTACTGAGTAGGAAGAGGAGGGGTGGATGGAGCAGCCGAACCCTGCATGAGAAATCCCGTGGTCAATTTGCCAATAATAGTGATAACACGCTGTCTCGCTAGTGCTGTACCTTGGTACTTAGTGTCTTGGTTTGGATTCCGTGCCTCACAGGACCTGGTTGAATTGGCATTGTGACAGTTGACTGATCGAATCCGTGCCCGGAATGAAAGGCTATTGAGAAAGGCTTGTGACTCAGTCAATGTGGTATCGGGGGCCCAACTTCCTTGGCGGGACAGGTATTGGATGATGGTGGAGAGCTATTTGTTAGTTACATCATGGCAGACGCTGTGGCTGTGAATGAGATGATGCAGGGACCGGGATTGAACAGGATGATTCAAGTGCTTGGTGCGGGGGAAGAGGCCAAGAAAAAAGACACAAAACAGGAGAAGATGTGCAGTCCATCGTTGAAACCAATGACAGGTGGAAATGAGCAAAAGAAGATAGAAGAGAGAGAGAGACAGTAAATGAAAGGATGATGGAGGGAGAGACAGACAAGACGGGAAGTGCCTGACCCAAAGCACCTGCCTGATCGGGACTGGTATGCACAAGACCTCCTCTCCACCACTAGTAGTACTTCATGACCACGTCTTGGATCTCCACTTGAGACAACAAACTAGCACAGACTGAATACGTGGATGGTATACAGGTGTATTAGCCGGTCCGCTCAAGTTGCTGCGACTGAGCAAGTTTTGAGGGTATGAGTACGGTTTGTTCCACAACCTCCTATCAATAACATCTTGATTGATCCCATCTGCGGGTGTTTGTTTTTTCATCCTAGTAGATAATACTCTCCATATGCTGTCAGATTCTACCGTATGGAGAGAAATATGAACCGACCGTATCGACTCAACAGATGCTACACAGAATTGACGGTGACAAGAAGATCCCTCCCAAGCGGTCAATGGGTGGTGCTCACTGCAAGGGTGATCGGAGCAGCAGCAGCAGCAGCAGCAGCATAGACATACCTGAAGAATGCCCGGCAAGGGGTGGTCTACAAGAAGTCGAGATCCTCTTCGATTCATCGATCTACCTGCTTCCCTTGTTGACAATTGGCCGCTTGCCAGCCATACAGAGTTCAATCAACATACACTACTACATCTCTCCGACGAAGCTAAGTTTACTATAACCCGAGTAGCATGCGTTAGGTCATTCATTTTCACATGTCGTACTTTTCGACTCTGTATGTACATAAAATGGGAACAATTGCCCCGTGCAGGGGGACAAATCAGGCACATGAAGTACATAAGAAATAAGCATCAACCGATCCAAGGTTCGAACCCGGTACGTAAAAGCCCGTGAACGCCAAGCGCCCATCTCCCTTTGATGCACACATATGTTGTAAAAGGGGCCTATTTCAACAAACGGCCAAACAAGATCGCCAAGAGCAGTGCAGAAAGCAAATGAGTTCTAAATCATGGCACAAACATGAAACAATGTCGCAACAGTGTTTCCAAGCCGCTTAAAGACTCAGGCCGAGTTCCGCATCGAGGTCGGCTGCGAAAGTGTTCATATCGTTCCGTGATGCCGCAGCGCGATCGTCGGCAAGTTGTCCGTCTCCCAAGCTGGCCAGACCAACGCCTTGTTTCTCAGTATCGAAGCCCATGATGTCGGAAAGATTGTTCATGGTACCCAAGCCGAAGCCATAGTTCTTCCCATTACCATTCCCGGTATTCAAGCCATCATCGGGGGCAAGGAAGTCCGCACCGGCATCGTCAAAGTTGATCAAGGCATCGAAGTCGTTCTGGGTTACTTCCGCATCATTCGCCAGATCCATGAGCTCACTGATGCTCAGCTCCGAATCGAAGTTGGGGATGGTAAAGGCATCCTGATGATAACTGGGGTTGATGTTGCTGGTGCTCCCATTCTCGCTACCGTCGGAGGGAGGGGGCGTTGATGCGAACTCGGGACCGCTTTTCTTGGGAAGCTGGCTGGCACGTCTTGCGCCGTCGGATTTCGGATACGTCAAGTCAGGGATCTTCTGCGCGAGAGAGTCGGGGGGTGGGGTCAAAGTGTTGACGCGTGCTGAAGTGTCAACTATGCTGCTCGTCCGTGCCTGTACATCTTGCGGCGCTACTGTAAGCTGAATTCCGGCCTTGCGAATGGCAGCCTCCAAAAACGACGTAGCGAAGTCTGCCGATGCATAGATTTCTCTCAGACGTTGTAATATGCGCATGCACTGGTAGAACCGGTGAAGGCTGGTCATCCGAACGTTGTGGTCACTAGACTTGATGTCGAGGAGATGAATAATCACAGCGGGAAGTAGGACCGTAACGCCAGTTGTAGGGAAATAGCGGGTCAGGTCTAGGCTGTGTAGATCCTGGGCAATATTTGTAATCTCGATCGCAGCAAACCGCACCTTATTCCTAGAAATCTCCTGTAGTTCGGCGTCCATCGAAGGGAACGGGATCGCAGGTAGGACCTGAGGGCGATGGAGAGCGCTGGATGTGGTCAAATAAACCATCTTCAGGAGTGCACGATGAGAATGAAGAACTTCCTGCGCCTCATTTAACTTGGAGGGCGCTGCGGGGGCGTAGCGTATCTCTGTCGGAAGGTGGGCCAGCCAGTCTTCCAGCTCCTGATCACAACGACGAACCTCGAAGGTCTCCGCTGCTGATTTCTTGGGTACCAACATCATGGTGGTTTCCATCGTTCCACCAAACTTGTGGCTTAGAACCGAATATTGAGCCGACAGAACATGGCTCACACAGAGACAAAGTTTGGCCTTCTCAATGAACATCAAAGCCAGCTCTCTCTGATGGCTCACGCTCTGAAGAATCTCCGAGTTGCCTACCATGCTCACAATCTCCGGCGAGAAGGGATGAAACTCGAAATCGTCAAGAGTCAACATCGGAACATCACAGTCATCGTCCTTCACGCGCATGGGACGTCTCATTCCCAAGGCGATCAGACGATCACGCGTATATGTGCTCCACCAAATCCGTTTCCACATCCGCTGGCGCCGGACATCCATACGGGAGTTGCCGGGGTCACGATGCAGGCCAATGGTATGTGCGAGGGACAAGCTCACACCCATCCAATGCCAAGTATCCTTCTGGTCATCAGGCGTCTCATACCAGTAGGTCATTAGCAGTAATGATTGGACGAGAGAGATTCGGTCAACTTCGTAGTCGAAATCATAGAGAAGTCGTGCGCGCTGAAAGAAAGCTTTACGAGCTGCCTTTCTGGTGGGGTATCCGGCAGCGTGGAGATGCTTCAAGTCGATAAAAGCTGTGCCGGCGAACATCACGGCTTGGAATAACAATAGGCTCATACGGCGGATGCCATCGTTTTGAACGATCGTCTGCAGGAAGTCTTCTAGGTCAAGGAGGGGCATATAGGTGTGGACGTAGTGGATGTAGCTTTTCAGCAATTCATTGCGTAGTCCCACGTCGGGGACAGTCAAAGCTCCTTTCATGGACAAATAGTCGATGTCCTCTTTTTGCAGACGTGGCGGCAACCCGCGGATGTAGTCTGGTAAGACAACACCGCCAGACCTGGTATTGGCAAAGGAAGGGTCCAGCAGCTGTTGAATCTGCGAAGTCACATGGTGCAAAGGAAGCGTCGCTGGGACAGCGGGATTCGGGGCCATTCTTCTTCGATAGCGATCCCCGGAGCCAATTCTGTTCGCTTGGCTTTGATCTGTACAAGTACGCATTAGCATCTTATCGAAAATGATACAGTGGAGATGGGTCATTTGCCACGATCTCCGAGACTAATCGAGGTGGGATACGAACATAAAAGATGTGGCATATGCTGCCCCTGATCTAGATCTACAGAGCGCTGCGAGGGAGAAGCCGGGGCCATATCGGAAAGGCCATGACACTCGCTAAGTCGCCTGAACAGACTAGCCCCGTCATCGGGGATTTCTGCAGGGGATTGAGACAGCTGATGAGGGTTTGCATTATCGACCTCAACACGTGATTTCCTGAACAGTGGCAACAAAGCGCGCTCGTGGTTAGCCGGCACTTCTGTGGAGGGAAAACGGAAGACATGTATTCGACGTAGACGAACTTTCTCCTCTTGCTCTCAGTAACAATGCACTCTACTTGGTCCAGGCGGCAATTCGTGCAGGGCGAACCATTTTCGACCACATCACACCGCACTTTGCGAGCCCGACAGCAGCAGCACGCCTTGGACGCCCTCCGTTTTACAGGGCGGGCATTGGCGGGCAGACCGGCAGTGGAGGCTTTCCTCTTGGATTTGGCCTCGGTTTCCACGGTGGATTGAGGGGTGGGAGAAGTTGTTGATACAGCAGTGTTAGTCATTATGCAAAGCGTGAATTCAGTTGAACCAAATCATCCGTGAGTAGGCCAGCCTTTTTGTCGTATCAATGGTGGAAGAGGAATTGTAGAGAAACGGCGTGGAGAAGTATAGCGATAATCAGAGTAGGATAATCAATGCGACTTTCTTGGTAGATAATTCAAAGAGGATTATAGGTAATAGGACAAAGATGGCAAGGGTAGGAGTAATGAGTAAGTAGTAAGAGCTAGAACAAGAGAAAGGTGGAGGAAGAGGTGTGTAGTAGGAAAAAGGAAATCCAGAACGTGACCCAACAGAGGTAAAAAGTAACAAGAGTGGAGAGGGTTCCTTTTGATTTTTATGTTCCTTTTTTTTCTTTTCTGTTTTTCTTTTTTTTTAATTTATTTAAAATAAATCCATACAGGAATTAAGTTAGAGAATCACTTTCCGCCGGAAGGGGGAGAGAGAGAGAGAGAAAGAGAAAAAAAGGAATCACAGGACCACGTTCCAATCTTTTCGTCCAAAGGGACGAAAATCGAGACATGACTTGGGGCCGGGGAGGAGAATGTTTAAGTACGATTGAACTAGTGTCAGTAGCAGCAGCAAATGTCGCAAGTGCCTGTTCCAACCGTCAGTCAAAAAACCAGTCAGTCAGGAGGCGTTGGCGTTGGGGATGATGAGCCCCAGATCCACTCGCCATAGTCGCCTCCCCCAGACCAGAACCGTGGAATTCCGCCTAGAAAGTGGAAACCCAATGGCGGACGGTGTGCTCCGTACTAGACTTTGAGACTAGGGGAAAGGAAAAAGAGGACCTGACCCGGGTTAATCATCATCATCCTCATCATCGGGGTTGTCATCGTCGTCGTCAAACCGCGCCGGGGGATTTTAGTTGAGTAGTGAAAAAGACTCTTGCTACCTATCGTGGACTAGACTATACTCACTAGTCACGCTGGCCAGAAAAGAAGGCCGGCGCTAGTGCGGGTCTGTATTTACCTCAGACCGCATCGACTAGTCCCTTTTTGGGGGGAGTTGGAGGCTTGGGAAAAAAAGGAAAAGCGGGTTCCAGTCGGAGTGGTGGGGGAAAGAAAATAATAATCTGAATTTAATAATAATAATACCCAAGAAAAAGACACAATCAGATTACGGATGTCTTTTTGAGCCAGTCGTTGCGCATTGCTTACTGTACAAACACCCCCACTGGAGAGGCCAACGACCATTCAGAAATCCATGACTGTTTGTAAAGATCCACCACCAAACGCAGGACCCCCTCCTCCTCCGACCAAAACAAGTTTAGTGAAGTACTTACTAAGTATTTAGTGGTTTCTACCCAGTTCCTCAGCTTCCGTTCCACAGCCGGTTTTTTTCTCAGTGTGTAAACTACAGTAGGGAAGTAGTAATTTACCCATTTCAGTCAAGTGAACCAACTCCCGTCCCCTTACTCCGTATTTTCCGTCCTCTTAGCCCGTCCCCCCTCCCTCTCTTCCTCCTCTTCCCCACCACTACTAAGGAGTAGCAACGGACCCAGAAGAAGACGATGGCAGTTTTCCATACCCGATTGAGGGGGGGGGGGGGGGGGGTCTCCATCGGCCCGGTCACGTTACTGGCCCTGTCCGCCACAACCAGTCATCGGCAACTTGGCCACCACCGGAGGGGACCGGGAGCAAATTCAAGATCCTGCCATTGGTCTGAACTAAACGTGCTATTCCCAATCCCCATGAGACAAGACACAAGACTCTGGAAACCTTTCCCCATCGGGTGTTTGCAGTGGGAAGCTTTTATTTGGTAGAATATTCCTTCGCGACTACTTTTGACCCTGGGACATCCTCAAAACTCTCATGGCGCTATTCTTTTGTGCAGGGATGCAGCCACGGGGCGGTATACATACGGAGTGGTGCGGTGACTTTTCCGGAGTCAGTTAGTTAACTAACACACACACACACACACACACACACACACCAAGGGAGGATGCGTCATATTTGGTTTCGGAAAAGATTCCGGCTCTTGTGATTTTTCTTTTATTTGCATGCACTACTCGCAACTCTGGACTGGAGATGCACGGCGTCTCAGAAACTCGGGTCTGCTTCCGTCGGCTTCCCTTCCATTGCCCCCTTTTACGTCAGTCAGTCAGTCAGTCAGGTAGGCTCGAAAATAGTGATTATTACCAGGATGTAAATCATTCGGCTCTTTGTCTCTAATAAGATTTTCTCTCCCGCTGGATCCGTATTGCAAAGCGTAAGTTTACTACTGTGTGTTCTTTGATCGGGGATCGGCCCCTGCGGTACGGAGTACAACATCAACGATTTCCCTTTTGCTGAACAGCCGAGTATGGGTCAGCTAGCCAGATACCACGGAACCGAGGCCCGTAAGCGCTCCGTTTAGATTATCCCGTATGCTCTCTAGTTATCTACCATTCCTTTTGTGTGATATACAGTGCGCGTATGGTGATCTCGGACTAGGCTGGATTGCTCTGCGCTATCGGAGCCTACCTCGATGATCGTTATAATAAGACACACACACATGCACAGCGGTCCTCTTTACTCACGAATTCATTTTGTTGATGAAGTGTCGTCTCCTTGGTTGGATCGCGCTGAGGAAAACCCTCTACGTATGAGTCAGTAGTTAGCCATTGTCACAACACAACTATCCGTTAGATAGAATGACTTGGAAATCTTGCAGCCTGCAGCTTGTTTGCACTCGATAATTCGATGACCCATCCAGTGCGGACGGTGCATATGTCATGCGGTCTCGAAGCCGGAGGCAGAGAGGACTACGTCTTGAAGTTGGTGGAGAGGGAGTGGACTTATGACGATCATGCACATATCGTTTCCCCCTGTTGAAAACTTAGTAAGTTACGTTGTAGTACAGCAGGGCCTTTTTTGGGGGGGAAAGGAAGTCAACTAACCAGGTATCATTGCCAATGCATCAGGAATTAATAATGGACTAGGTGGTTGTCGCTGGCCTACAGCATCCAGACCCGGGAGAGACTAAGCCCAGTTGCCAGGCGCTATGCAGCATGAGGGATAGGAGCAGGGCAGGCCCGCCCGCCAGCTGCCCAATGTAGGATCGCAGCCGATCCCGCATGCCGATGGAGGGGCGAATCGTTGGGCCGGATCAAACCTGGGACGACACTGGGAGTTGGGAACGGTATCCTGCGGTTTAGTTCGTTCGGGGGATTAATTATTTGGACAGAATTCAATAAATGCGGTCACTGTTTGGGAGACCCACTGAAACTAGGAACTGGAGAAAAGCGGGAGTCCTTGGATTCGGCTCGCCCGCCGCATCGAGACCTAGTAGTACTCTCCGGATGAGTCGTTTAGAACCTTACAATGTTCCTCCTTACGCATCGAAGAATATCATTATTGAAGAAAACCCCTCAAGAATTGTAGCAGCATCAGAATTGTAGGTAAACGTCATTAATAGGAGCAAATCGACGTTTACTTCTGAATGTAGGTAGCGTTGAATGGGTCGTGAGATGGTGCTGGTCACAGACTGGGGCAAAATATCGCGCGGGTGGATCGGCCCCAAATTCTTGATGCTGCTGGCGCTGCTGCTCTACACACACATATTGTGCATGCGAGTTGTCAGTCAAAATTCATAGGAGCAGCAAAACAAATCATCGCAGCAATGGGGTGCAAAGCACACCTTGCTCTAGACCTGGCCACTAGGCTTTACGGATGAATAATATTAATCATCATCCAAACCCTGCGTGAATTATTACCCCTGCAATGTGATCTCCCCGAATCATATTCATGGAAGGAGTATCAACCACAAGCTCATCCACGTGATAGAGGGTCCGATGTCACGCTTAATAGTGCCGACAACCGGAGGAGACAAACCCTCTCGCAAGGTTACAAAGAATGTTCTGTTGGCGCTGTCCAATAGTTCCGTCGGAAATTGCGAGCCGTAACGGCCCAGAATCTGAGCGGGTGACCTGTGAGCTCGCTCCCCCCAGACGGGATCATATTATCTAGCTGGCGCCCGAGTGGAGTATTGGAGGGACCAGCAGACTACTGTGTAGTAGTGTGTACGTATTGCCAAAGGCTATTTGTGGCTTGAGAAGAGGTCGGGAGAGCAGCGAGGATCGGAGGAAAGAGCTCAGTACCCCACAAGTAGAGAGAAAGGATGGCGCACTGGGGTAGAGCCAGGCATCTATGATGAGCTTAGAGCCTTCCGGTTCCCTCCAGGTGGATATACCAGATAGCTCTCTTTCTGTTTCATGTACAGTGTCGTAATGAAGGGTGGCATGGAAGGGCGGTTCCTTGCTGTCAATGTGTGCCATCACAACATGCTGCATGCCGCTACTGTGGGAAAAGCCCTACACCTATATGTGATTGGTACAGCTTGTTGTAGTCAATCAGTTCATGCCTTAATTCCTGATAAAGAGTGAGTAAGGCACAGCACTATAACGACTTAGTAATCTTAGACACCTTCCTATTTTAAAAGTGCTAGCCGTTATAGTTTGTCCAATTTCACATGAATATTGTGTACTCACCCTTTATCTCGCAAGCAGTACTACTAGAAGGTAAAACAACGAGATTTCCATGCCGTAATTGGAGATTAATTGACTGGACCACGATGAAAATACGGGGGACCCAGCAGTGGCTTAGTACTTAGTAGTATCAGTAAGTATACAGTAAGTAGTAATTCGTGGGGGAAAAACGAACCAACGCCCAAGCGGTGGTGATTGGTCCGTGTGGATAATCTCCGACCATCACGAGGGATTTCCCCCACACCAATCAGTGACATTTGAGCGGATTCCCATGTGGGACTCCCACAGCTGACTAACCGTCGGCTGGAGGACGATTGGCCACCAATCATAAATCGCGTAATGCTCCCCGAATTGGACGCGGAAACGTGGAGTTGCTCCCGATCGGGGAAAGACCGGGATTATCTCGTTTTTTCCTGGACTGGCGAAATGGAGCTGTGACGGTGCCGGTTGTTTTACTTGGAAGTCGGTAGCCTTAGCTTTTTTCGTGTCTGGGGCAAGTTACGTATCATCCCCAGTCATCAGCTGCCATTAATAGTAAGGGGCATGGAATTGGGATTGGGTCAACTCTTCGACCCCAGAGCCGAATTTCGCTTGATCCATCTATTGCGGGCGATCGAACCTTCCAGCTCCAGTTTCTCCAGCCAACATTCTCCCGCCTTTGCCCCAGTTTCACCCCCCTTTTTTTGTTCTCGGACTGCTCCGTGCTATCTTTTCAGAACTAACCCGGGGAGGCCGGGGGAGCTGACTTCTTTCCTTAGATTGATAGATAGACAGGAACCTGATCTTTCGCATTCCTTTTCCCCTTACTTAAGATATCATATCATGCGCCCCTCTACTATCCTTGCCTACTATTTAGGTCAGTTGGAACATCCTGTACGTAATTGGTGGATAGTATGAAAGTGCAACACCCGTACACGTTTCCTAATATCCTATAGAAAGTAAGTTAGACATCTTCCCACCATGGAATCACAGATAGAAAAATACTCAGCCACAGTGGCACGCTCCCCACTACTTGCTTACTATCCAGTGGATAACCCCAGATCCGGGGAGAGCCTAGGAGCGTCTTGCCTGTTCCGGTAATCATACCTATCAAGGAAGGATACCCTCGATAAGCGGCCTCACCCGTAGAGTACAACTGAGGGATATAACTACATTACATACCAATCCCATGACTCATTCTATAGTTTTGTACCGAGTATCCCAGTCTACCCGTTCAACTTAAAGCAAGGGGGCAGCAGATACATCAACTACCGCAGTCGGTCCTCTCAATGTACGCACTCGGACATCTTGCCGGGCAAGCTTGAGCTCGGACATGGCAATCCGAGAGCCATGGCCCTGCTTGCCACCCCACGTTCTTTCATGTCTGCTGCAAGCCACCAGCGGTAACCCGATGGACGGGAGAGGGGAGAAGAGGGGAGAGAAGGCTGGGTAAACTCACAGGCGGAATAAAGGAATTACCACGACGGAAATGAAGTCATACCGTGCATGGCTAACAAGGTTTAGGCGAGTCCGAGAGAGGTCCGTGTCAGAAGACTTGCGCTGCACGAGGTGGGCCTGACAGATGGAGAAGGAGAGCTGTCGCATGCCCATCCTGCTACTACTTGATCTGGCCCCGGCTATGGGTGTGAAAATTTGATCCCTTAGGGGATTGTTGCAGGATTTGACTCATTGACTGCTCGGAAATCCCCGCATGACTTTGAAAAAATGTGATGGTCATTGAAGCTAGTCGATGAACTGCGGACATTTTGTGTTGGTCTGTCATTTTTTTTGATGGATGCGGTGCAGATCGCGGGGTAACCCCGCCAGATGTTAGCAGGATTCAAGTTGTAGCTGATGAACAGAATACTACTACTATTCCTCCGGTAAATTTTCATCCAAGCAACTGATGTTTTACATCTTGTGAGATTATTGGCAGCATTCTCGTATACTGTTGATTGATTAGCTGATGGCTACTACTCATTAATCCTACTATAAGCGAGTTGAGATATATGTTCAGTTCCCGACGCTTGGCGTATAGAGTGAACTTAGTAACGTGGCATAGGGACGGAATTGAACCCCTCACTCTAGCAGCCAAGAGCACATCCAATCACTAATACCCGCCTGGTCTTAGTGCATATTACCTGTATTTCTGCTAGTGACTTTCTGTACACGAAGGAGACAAGGCCATTGAAGACTAGATGTAGTAAAGGGAAGGATTTTTTGTTTTCGAGAGGATCAAGTATAAACCCGCTCATCCATCTGTTATTCATCATCAGTCGTATCCACTACTAAGTACTTATGCTTAGGACTAAACTTCCCAAAGACACATACACTGTATATAATATTAATTCTCAGCATGCCGGGAAATGAAGAACTTACCGTTTCTATTGAACGCTCGGCCAAGTCATGACCTGTTATTAAATAGTGGTCATATTGAACGACATGTAAATATGCTTCTTCAGGGTTAATCTAGCACTCTTCGCTAATGGGCGACTTCCAGCTGCCATAGGTAAGCTCATGGAATGTACGACAATTCTACAAATATGTATCAATCCATATATATATAAATCTATACACTTGATGTGTATGTGTATGTGTATGTGTGCAGGATTGTCTGATGCTATAATAATCACCCTAATAGTAACACATATACATATACACATACATAAACTAGATAGTTGAAGGCTGGCCCTTCATCAGACGCCTATGCATAAGATATAGTGGGCTACTTGACTCCTACAACCACCCTAGACTATAGTCGGAAAATAATTTATCTGGACATTAACTCGATTGCTAGAGAGGACAAGGGTAAGTATATATATCGCGAAAGGTTATACTGAGACAGTTCTTGGAATTCCCCAACAGTTTAGATCTCTCATGTCCTTTTCATATTTGTTCAATTCCTTGTATCTCCATTTTTTTTCGAGTTCTCAATACCATTGTGCGTTTTATCTACAATTTCTTCTCTAACACCCCGCGCAGTGTCACCTTTACACCCCCTCGTGCTCAAGCACCAAGCCGCCTTTATTCACACCTACTCCCTTTGCACTTCCGACTTACTGCTATCCCTTCCTTGTTCGTTGCTCCTGTGGACTTTCGGTCATACTAGTGCGTCGTTCCAATCCAATCGGGTCTGGCGACACGGTGTATCAGTGATGCTAATCCTGAATTGAGCAGAACCTTTTTTTTTTCTTTTCTTTTTCTTATAGACAAGAGCATAGATAGCGTCTCCAGTAGAGACTTAGATATCAAGAGTGGGGACGTTGATAATGAAAGCCAATTATGCGAGGGTGCTTTCATAAATGTAAGTTATCTGCGCCAGAACACGACTTAGCCCAGGATGAGAGCCCTAGACGTCTATCAAATTCGACCGAAACAGTACAGCTATAGCACTCCGGAAAGGCTTGATGAATCTCCAAAATTTATTGGAATATTTAGATAAGCTTCGTGGCTTCCAAACATCTTCTGATCGAATTCAGCCAAAATGGGTATCCATTCTATCAAGACGTATGTTTTTTTTATTGTTTCGCATTAACCTCCCCTCACTACCTACCGTCTTTCAGAGATTAATAAATTATTCCCGTCATTTTAGGTCTGCTGAATTCACCGAGAAGGGTCATCGACTCTGAGAAGCAAGTCATAGTCATGTTCTTCGCTGACTGGGCCGGTCCTTGCAAGCTTCTTCGCCCTAACTTCGATTCGTTCAGCTACGACTACCCGACCATCATATTCTACGAAGTTGATCCTGACGACCCTGGGAAACTCACTGCCGATTTAGGTGTTACTTCAGTGCCTACCTTCTTCTTCTTCTTTTTCTTCACAGACGGCGCACAACTCAATAACCTCACCTTCTGTGGTGCCCACCCCCAGTGTATTATCAATGGTATATCCATGGTCTCCTGTCTTAAAGGGGTGATAAACGGTTATAAGACTGCAAATGATTACTAGCCTTAAGATAACGGTTTTTTAAGGCTTTACATTACACTGCCTTTTTCTCCCCTAACGCCATGGCTATTTGGTCTCTGTGTATAATTATATATAGAAACTCTCCATGGTTAGCATATACAGATGTATCCCTATCATGTGACTGACTTTTACAAGGAACATCTTATCTAAGTACCTGTCGGAGACCAGTGTTGTTCGGATTCTATCATTTTCAATTGCTGTAGTTCTTTACTATCTTACGTTAGGGTCTCAGCCTTAGTATGAGCGCCGTTAGTGCCCGTGGAGCTGGCATTAGGAGGGTATTCTAGAAGGTATCCTGAAAGGCACCTTAAAAATAGACTCAGGAGTAGATGTGGAAAATGGTCTTGGAGGTATCCTGGAAGGATGACAGTCTTGGAAGTAAATTTGAGTACGTGACATCATTTCTACAGTTTTCTGCCAGTTTTAAATAATGTATGGGGCTAATTCTATCTCATGGAATAGAGTCCTAAAGTCCGGCCAGGTGTAGAATCCACATCAAGGCCACTGTTGGATAATGCATGTGTCGACAACTACTTCTCAAGAGCGTACTGTAATAGAAATTTGAAGGGCTATCATAAAAGCATAAACACGTTACATCGATAAATCCGTCATTCATTGATCAAACCAGTCCGTGGGTTCCATGGCCTTCAGCCAAAAACGCCGTCTCGGGGATATCTCAACCAGGAATAGTATGTGCCCAGCCAACAACCATACCAATATACAATAAGCAAATAATCCAGTCAATATCGAGGAAGTTGCAGAATTCACAAAGAGGGAATCAAAATCAAGGGAATAAAAGAAAGAAAACATTATCGTCTAGCAGAATGAGAGTGCAAGCTTTAAGCACCACCACGGCCCATTCGTTCAATGGATCCCATGATACCACTGCGCCCGGGTGTGGGGAGGGCGATCCCGGTCTTACTGCCGCTGTTGCCTCGAGCATGTCTGTTGCCCACTGCTCCGATCCTAGGGATTCTCTTTTCACCATTGCTCGAGGTGGTACTTGGAGGACGAATGCCACTTGAGGTGCTGCCACGGCTAACGCTCCTCTGGAAGCTCTCAGTGGGAGGTTCCGAGGCGGCAAGCACTGGCTCTGGCGACTCAAGCTCTCTGGTGGTCAAAGGCAGAGGGGCGCTCTGTGCTGGGGGCTGGTCCTGCTGGATTGCCAACCATTCGTCCACAGCTGCCACCAGTTCGCCTTTCTCTGCTCGCTCCTGCTTCAGCTCCGCGTGCAGGCGCTCGTTGTCTTCTTTCAGTGCCGTCATTTCCTGCTGCAATCCCTTGATCTGTGCCTCCATCACACGCTTCTCTGCTTCGTGCTCCTCCCGCTCCTGTGCGAACAGACTAGGGTCGACTCGTGGGGGCTCTGACACGGCGGCATCTCGCTCTATTCTCAGTCGCTCATTTTCTTCGTTGGCAGCAGTCAGCTTATTCTCGGCTTCACGCACGCGCTTTTCCCAGCGAGCTTCGTAACTCTTTTTCAATGCAGCGACCTTGGTTTCGTGCTTGCTCTTGTAAAGCGTATGAAGCTCACGTGCAACTTTCTCCACGGCGTCTTGCACTTCTTTGGCAGTCTCTTCGGACGTCTTGGTGCGAGACGTATTTTCAGGGGCTGCGTTCCCAGCGGAGGCAGACTGAAGAGCCGAAGCCAACTGACTCTCCAGTTCGACCACTCGGCCCTCCAACTGCTCCCTAGACTTCTCTGCCTCATCCACCTTCCTCGCCAATCGTTCTTTCTCTTGCTCACCCTCGACAATTTCAGCTCTCACTTCTCTAAGGATATCTTCCATTTCTTGGCCCCTCCGCTGCCACTCAGCTTGCTCAAATTCCAGAGATTCCTTGCGCGCAACTTCGTTACGAACTTCTTCTAGAGCCTCCCCTACGCGGCGTTCTGCGTCTGCAACTGCCTGCTTGAGACTGGCAACCTCCGCTTCCTTCCCGCTGAGAGTGGCCTTGAGGGAAGAGATCTCGGAGAGGAAGCCGGATTTCAGAGTCTCAAGCTCCCGGGGAGTGACCGTTGGAATTGACCGAGGTGTAGGCACAGAAGGGATGTCAAAGTCCAAAAGGGAAGCCTTTGCAGGTGATCTTACGGAGTCTCTGGCGGTCCTCAAGGGAGATTGGCGGGAAGGAGAGTAGCGCTCATTCTGTACACTATAACGCTGACGGGGGTAAATGCTTGGCTGATCGGTTAAATCGAGCAGATTAGGCGTATCATGTATGCTTCTTGATTCTCGCTTTCGTGGTGCAGGGGATGCAAGAGGGGTTCCCATATTGTTGAGAATGCTCCGTCGAGGTGACCTTCTTGCGGGGGAAGGACTGGCCAGTTCCGCGTCGCCTAGATGAGGTCGTGATGTCTTGTAAGGCGAATCATTTCGAAGTCGTGCGAAAGTGGTCATGTCTGGAATAGCGGAGAATGTGCTGAGGCGTGTCTCATCCATAGATTCGTTGGGGTCATCCGTCATAGCGTCGTCTGCTTCCTGCAAGTCAAGGTTCTCATCCATTTCTGGGGAGCTGTCCTTATCATTCTCATGGAGGACAGTGCTCATGCCTTCGTTGTTATTTTCCTCCACCATGCTATTCACAACTTCCTGGCCAGCACCTTCTTCCAGGTCGTGATCAGCAACGAAGTCAACGTCCTCATCAGAGTAGACATTGATATCTGGAGAGCTCCTCGGACCAGTACCCTTCTTGTATCTATCATTTGGGGTCGCATCACCATCCGTACCGTCAGGGACTTGCTCGTAGGAGCGCTTTCTAGGCGTCATGGAGTGGTCACCGATGCCCCCTGAAGACATGTGCCGATTGAGGGCCCGTAGTCTCTGGAAGTCCACAGTCTCTTCTCTTGCATTGAACTGGAACGGCGAGCTAGGTGCTGGCATCACTGATTCAATATCCTCGTTATCCAAAACCTGATCGTCGTGCGATTCGTAGACATCGTGCTCAGGGATGGGATCTTCTTCTTGGACTTCTGTAGACACTTTGAAGGGGCTCGATATGGGATCCTCAGGCGCATCCATATCGTCCTCCTCTACAGCAAAAACAGGTTTGCCATAGCTCGGCGAGAAGGCTCGAGAGTTCTGGCGCGAGGGTGTCAAGTAGGATAACGGGGTAGACATGGTGACGGTGGGTAAAGTATCTCTCTAGACGGAGACGAGATTGGAAATCTCGATAGTGTGGACTAGCGTCCCAGCACCAATCGATGGGAAAGGGTATATGGAGCAGTCCCAGAGTTCGTGTGGAGGGACAAAAATGCGGAGTTTGTGATGGGGTTCGAGGCGGCGTTTATTATGATGATGATTATTTTCGGCCCGTTGCCAGGATGTCGCGGTAAACAAAACTAACCCTAATGGGGACTAGCGTTGCGTTAGTGAGGTGGTGGTAATCGGCAAAAACCCTGGATTTCTCACCGCCCTGCGATGGGGGCAGCCAAAACTCGTCCTACCGCCTTTGTTTGCATCATCGACAGTCGAGTACAGGACCCCAGACGGACGCAAATGCTAAACGGATGTGTACGTTTGATCAAGTTTATATGCAGTATATGATTTGGTATTATTTCGTTCTATATACAGTGATAGACTCCGGGACACCTTTTGAGCGCTAGAATGCAGCACAGCGAATCATGAACATTTTCGATAACAACGATATCATGGTCTCATAGTATGCAAGATAGAACGCATAGCTCTCACGCGAATAAGTCTCATGATTGAGTCCTACCGTTGCCTTCAGACAATACTCCTCCTATACATGGCCAGTCCCATCGCCATCAACGTCTGTCACAATGATATGGACAGTCTCATCTTTGACTGGCGTGGCATGAGACGCATAGTGGCAATGCGCAGCTGGCTGAACCGTGATAGAGGCATGTTTCTTTTGTTCAATGAAGAAAAGCTGCACAGCGCCGATGGCTGCGACAAAAGTGCTTCCCCACCAGGCCAGGGCCGTGAAATCGATCTTAGAACCTGTACTGTACAAGAAGCCTGCAATCGGTGGAGCCATCGTGCGTGAGAAGGCACCAGCCGAGGCCGCGAGTCCATTGATCTTGCCGAGAACGGAATCGGAGGGACTGGCCTGTTTGATGAGAATAAGAAGGACGGGGTAATCGATGATCGAGAGGATGTTGCGGATAACCAAGCAGGTGTAGATGCCGAAGATCACATGTTGGCTGGGAACGAAGATAAGGAAGGGTACGATAAGATAGGCTAGCGGATGAAGAATGGTGACGACAACAAAGAGCCGCCAGACACCCAGGCGCTGAGCCAGGAAAGGGAAGATAAGGCTCTGGATGACAAGAGCAATTATGCCATCACTTGACATGATCAGCCCGACGGTTCGAGTTGAGAGGCCGACCCCGCCCGGAAAACGGAACGCCGAATTCGACGACATGGCGATGCTGCTGACATTCTCATCTTGCAAGAAAATGGGCAACAGGTGGTCATACGTCATCGAGTGGTAAGTGAAGATTGCCAAGGCGATGATGAGCATAGTCACTCGCCATGTGAAAATCGTCGGCTTCTGCGGAGTGGATTCGGGCTTCGAACCATCGGCATACACTGTCCAATCTTCATCTTCATGGAGATGGACTTGGTTGAAAGTACCGTAGGACTCTGCACGTAAATCTGCGCCTGCGTTGGCGGTAGCTCCTGCAGTTGCAAGAAGAGGACGCTCCACGGAAGGATGATCCAGGTCATCTGACCGACTGCACGGTTGCATATCAGGATGCGTCTCCTCGAGCAAGATCCAGCTGGAGATGATGCTGCAGAGAAGTAATCCGGAGCAGACGAGATTAGGCAGAAGGTAAGGGAATTTGCCAAATAGGCCATTCATGGAGAACAGGGAGGGGAAACCTTCAGCAGGCTTTGCCAGCAAACCTCCAATCGCTATTG